CCCCACTTCTCCATCCTAAGGGACTAGAAGCTTGACTTCCACCCAAGTCAGTTGGAAGTTCTTTATCAATGTGAAAATAGTCTGCCTTCAGTGAAGCACTGGTTTGTGGGTCTGATTATTGAAGATCATACCAAAGATCCAGCAGGGCATTCCAAATGTGTGGTTGGGCTTTTGAGCCACCCACTCCCCCCAAACCACTCATCCAAAACCCTATTGGCCACATCTATTGTGTAGCTGTTCAAAGATGCAAAAAGGCGCTGCGCCATTTGCCAAGAAAATTCCCTTGCCCTAAGAGGAAGAAAATGAATGCAGCATAAAACTTGCAACAGAGAATAAAACCGGTCCTTTAAAATTTGCTTATTTAAAGGGTCTGAGAAAATAAAAAGGCTGTCACTTTAGCACTGAAAACAGCTCAAGAAAAAGCGCCTGGTGGGCCTCTCTGGGGAGAGTATTCCACATCTGGGGTTCCCAGCAGCAAAAAAATGTAGCTGGAATGCTCCTGCTTACAAAAGCGTGATACCTGTGTCGACAAATTGGCACGTAAGAATTCAGTTGAAGGTGTTACTAGTAGTAGCAATGCTATGTGTTACTATTGGTATATAAAGTCCTCAACATCTTGCGACCATACCCCTATATGCACCCACTCAACCACTTCCCTCTGCAAAAAGTGCACTTTTACAAGTGCCACATGGTGCTCGTTCTGCACCTGCAAAGAATAAGAATCCTTCAGTGTGGTAGCATCTACTCCCTGGAACTCCCTGCATATCATTATTCGTCTGACACCTTCGCTGTGTTGTTTGCGGCACCTGCTAAAAAAAAATGTTGTTGTTTAGGCAGGCCTACCCAGGCATACTCCATGCTTTTCTCTTTAAAAGAAGATGTACAGTGGTACCTCGGGTTACATACACTCCAGGTTACATACGCTTCAGGTTACAGACTCCGCTAACCCAGAAATAGTGCTTCAGGTTAAGAACTTTGCTTCAAGATGAGAACAGAAATCGTGCTCCGGCGGCGCGGCAGCAGCAGGAGGCCCCATTGGCTAAAGTGGTGCTTCAGTTTAAGAACAGTTTCAGGTTAAGAACATACCTCTGGAATGAATTAAGTACTTAACCCGAGGTACCACTGTACCTGTTCTGAAGAATTAAGTGGTGCAACCTAGACAGATAGCAACCTAGATCATGAGAGAATATTGGGAGAGTGGATGAAATTAAGGTGACAGGCTTATATAAATAGATTCCAAAATATTTTCAAGAATTAAGATGTAATCCGATTAAACTTTACATATATACACTTTTTCCCCACACCCCCAGCAATTGGACACACTTTTCATATAACTAAGATCCGCCACAGTGCTTATTCTGTTTACTTTCTGTTCATCATTTATTCCCCTCCTATTTTACTAAGCACTTATCTGTCCTGGGCATAAATCATCTGCAAAAAAGGGAAAGAAATGGGGAGGAGGGAGGCTCTGGCTCAGAAAAGATTTCGTCCCTGGCATGAAAATGATGAGGGAATCATTTTCGTCTCTTGTTTGAAACATTGAGATTTATTGAGTTTTGATGGGCTGCAGTGCTAGCATTGCTGTCTGATAAACAGACTCCCACATACACTTATTCTTATTGCATTTCAGCGATTGGGGGCATCGGGGGGCTCTGGAGTCCCTGGAGAATCTCTTCCCAGCTTAGGTGGGGCGTTGGAACGTCAGTGTTATTAGTTTATATTAGATAAGGAAAGAATGCACACAGAAGCATCTGGTGATTTTCTTTTTTCTTTACTTTCTGTTTAGCAGCAATGACAGAATGTCATAGTGAAATGACTTCCAGAGTCATCCCCCCACCCCGCCTTTACTCCTGACCTGGGTTCTGCGGCCTTGTCCCTGGAGGGCACTTCCATTGTATCCTTATATTAATTCTGCTAACTTTTGGACTTCATTGCTGACAATAGACCCTTTGGCTTTCTCCGGCTATTACATTAAATTTCCTATCAAACCGTGTCAGCCTCTGAGGTCAGAGATTCCATGAGAAGCTTTAGATATTTTGCCTTTTTGACTTCACGGGCAGGTGTTTTGCTAAATTGCTTCTAGGTTTATTTGATGTGGTTTCTCTCCACCACCCCTTCCCCCATTTTTCAGGGGTGGGGAGGAGAAAAGAAACATACCAGACCACTTTGCAAAGGAAAATAATGGAAGTTCACAAAAAGTCCCAACAAATTCAGGGTGATGCTGAAATCCAGAGGTGGGGAAATTTCAGCCCTTCAGATGCTGTTGGACTCCAACTCCCATCAGCCCCAGCCAGCATGACCAATGGTCAGAGATGATGGGAGTTGTCATGCAGCAATGCCTGGAGGACCACAGCCTCCCCATCCTTGCTGTTCTGCTGCCACCATTACTCCCTACACTTAGCTAGAATATAAATGATACCAGACTTTAGAATAATGCTTTGGGTCATGCTTGGCCCTACCATTAGGCAGATTGGGGCAGCTGCCTGAGACAGAAAATTGGTCCAGTCCTCCTGAGTTATTCCTATCCTCCTAACCCAGTGTCCTGGTACTAGCAATTCTTGCATAGCTGGCATGTGTTGTCTGGTCGCTTTACCATGTCACTGCCTTCCAAGGAATCACAGGCAGCGTGACAGAGAAAGGCAGAGAGAAGGGCCACACATTTCAGGAGGTAGAGAACCTTAGGCCCTTGGAAATCTTTCCCAGGCTGCACCCATCATCGGTCTTGCTTCTCACCCTTCTTGAGTGTTTTTTGCCTGACTGGAATGTGCCCTTGAACTGTGATAATGACTCTGTCTTGCCTGAGTGAAGGATAGAGAAGGATGTGTATGTGTGTAGAAACTAGCTTACTGTACAAAGAGAAAGTCTGCATTCCTTGCTCTGCTCAGTTTTGCCTCTTGTCCTGCTGCTGGCATGTGGCCCTCAGAAAGTTACCCAGAAGTGAATGTGGTTCCCCACCCCAGCATTTGAGCAGATGCTAGAGAGAACAATGAGTAAGCAACAGCAAGGTGTTGAAGGACACGGCTCTGTGTCCTGCACAGTCTGTCCTGCATCCTTCAAGCTAGCCTGCTGCACTCAGATGTGGTAGGAGTTGGAGTCCCATCACAAGTGTGGAAGCAGAGAACTGTGAAAGCAGCAGCTTTCGTCAGGCACTCAAATGGCTTTGCTCAACCCAGTTGGTGGGCCCATTTTCACCATTCACTTAGCATGATATAGATACACTTTTGAGTGGGCACATACCCTGTTCAACATGTGCTGGAGAAGTTATATGAATTGTTCCAGGATACACCTACCTCACCTTTCAACCTGTGTTTACTGTATCATCTCAAAACCAATTGAAGTGTACTGAAATGGTAAATATAAGGGGAGTTGAAAGTGCAGTGTGGGCTGGCATGTAAAATTACACTACTACTACTAGTACTACTACTACTACTACTCTCTTCCATCACACCCCTTAGGTGCAGCAATATTTGTATTTGGGGTTTGGGGTTTCTTTAAATTTAAAAACATGTCTCTGTCTGGTTAGTCCGACCTAATGTAAACATGAATGTTAGCTCCCTTCAAAGTTTGATTTGCAAGACAGGAGACCTGAGAATCTATGCCTGCTGCTTCCCCGTGATTCCGTGAAACATCTGCTGCACCAGCTCTGGCCATGGGTAATGCTAAACACCTCTATCAGGATTTGCAAATCCGCAGCAAACCGTAGCTAGGATGTAAACTGTGGATAACCACTTAATCGGCTAAAAGGCAGATAATTGATCAGCTATTTTTGTTTAACATAGGTAAGAAATTCCATCTGTAGCCAATTATTCTCAAGCTTCGGTTCACTAGTGCCCTGACTTTCTTTTCTTCCTTTTTTATGTCAATGGGTTTTGCGTAAAACTTGAGAACTCAGTGCAGCAAAGCCATAAGAATACTCACTTGAATGAGTAGTTCAAATAAGAGGAGGCATTAACAGCTGTATTCCTGTTACTAGCTTCGTTAGTGTCGTGACAGGATAGTTCTGCCTGTTGGTTTTCCCTTTATTAAAAGAAAGAAAGAAAAAAGACTACACTACATTGATTCATAATAAGATACAGTAAATGGGAATCCCACCAAGGAACGACTAACCTAACTGTGCAGATTCTCTCCCCACCCCCTCTCATTCATTTAGTCCCATTCAGTTCAAGAGAGTCCTATTTTAATCTGAATTAGGTATTTGGTCTGTGCTTGTAAGCAGCAATTAAGACCCAAGGCAAGAATGCAATAGGAAGATTGGGGGGGGGGGGGCAGCCAGACTCTGCCTGTGTGTTGTCTCTACCTGCTTACATCCATCCAGAGAGGGGAATCATTTGTGACACTCTAGGGACAGTTTTGTCACCCTGACAGTAATGCTGTTATGCACCAAGTTGACACACCGGATGAATCCATAAAGACAGATAAGTAACTGTTAAAGTGGCTAGGGATCAACCTGAGTGCTACCACTCACCTGCAAGTGACAAATAGATAGTCATGAAGGATTGAAAATCCAGCGCAACACAGCAATGTGTCAGTCCAGAGCTAAAATACTGCGTAGATACATGAAGGCTGGAGCACCAGGGCCCCAGGCGACTGCGGGAAAAAGGTTAACTTTAATGTACACCATTGCACCTTCTTCTTTCCGCAGCTATATATATTTATTTATGATGTGCATCTATAGCTATATAGCTGCATAGCTGTAACTGCGCCCAGGCCTAAAATGCACAAGGAAAACGCAGGTGCTTGTTTTCCATGTCAGTGGTCCTTCTGCTCTCAAATGCTCAACATGAGATTGAATTAGAACTTGAACCAAATTAGTATCATTAAGGTTATTACCATCTAGGAGCAGTTCCCTGTTTTGAATCAGAACAAGGACCCAACATTCTCAAAGAGCAAATGACCAGATGCCCCTAGGAAGCTCCAAATCAAATGCCCCTAGGAAGCCTCAAATGGCAGCAATCGTCCTCCCTGTTATTTGCTTCCAGCTTCTGGTATGCAAAGGGATGGGAAGCACAGTGGCTCAGTGGTAGACCACCTGCTTTGCATGCAGAAGGTCTCAGGTTCAACCCCTGGCTCCTCCATGTAGGACTGGAAAAGACTCATGTCTGAAACTGTGGAGAGCCGCTGTCAGTCACAGGTTCCCCATCCCTGGCCTTTAGGGCACAAACAGTGTACTGCAGTTGCACCAAATGCTAGTGCTGTGCTGAAAATTCCTCCTTTGTTTCCCCACCACTGCTAGCCATACACTGCGAATTAAGGGAAAACAAAATTGTGCCTGAAAATGCACTTACCGGTCTTTTGTGGGAGTTTTGTGCGTGCCCTTTCTTTCCTTCTACAAACCATTTCACCAATCTGCACGTGTCAATCAAAGCCCATGGGAAGTCATCACGGGACAACGTTTTTCAGATCAAGAAGCTCAGGCAGCTGCAGAAACAGTACTGGAAAAAATGGGAAGGAAAACCCATACACTTTTTCTTGCCCCCCCCCCCCCCGCAATGATATGGTAAGCTTAAAAACCTGCTGAGATTCAGAAGAGATTCTCAAGTGCCCTGGGATCGAGGCAGAAAAATGGGAACCTCTGGTGTACATATTTCAGCACAGCGCTAAGTTAATGAGATCAAGTGGGGAGACAACTTTCTCCCCACCAGTTATAATTTTCTAAACCTCCAACCTGCTTCATCTTAGCCATATCTACCCCAACGGTCTTAATTGCATTTTTTTAATATTTTGAGACATTTTATTTAGACCAATAGAGGTCCCCATCTGCAAATCTAATGAAAGGAAAGGAGACTGAAAAGGAAGGAGAAATGAATGAGCATTACAACTGCAGGTCCCAGTACCTAAGTGATGAACTCAGAAATGCTTTCGTGTTTTCCCCTTCATTTATTTCAAACATGTTGTTGAAGGATTATGAGGGATTTTGCAAATCAGAAGACAATTTTCTTATTCTGTTTCAAATACTTTTAAAAGGGAGGGGGAGAGAGAGTGTGATTCTATGCATCAGGCATATTAGGAGCAATCAGGTGGATGAGGCATGTTCATAGTCTAGCAGTAGTTAAGGCTTCAATCCTGTTCACACTTACCTGAGAGTAAGCCTCATTGGTTGCTGCATACAAGTGCCATCCAGAAGGCAATGTTGTGTCAAGCAGCAAGATGGTGGTAGAACAGTATACTATATTTAAATAGTATCTTTGAAGAGTTAGCACAGAGTTCACCAACGATTCTCATCCCATGGGCATATTTGGATTTTTTTAGTGAGTGTCATGGGCAACACCCCCCTCTGTTCACTTCTCTACCCCAGATCCCCAGATGAGCACCCACAAAGACAGACAGACATAAAAGGAAGACATGTGTGTGCACCAACAAATTTTACTTTTTGAAGCGATCTGGGTGAAACTCAGATCCAGCAGAATTAATCTGAGCCTTGAGAAGCAGGACTGAAAGAGGAAGTGGGGGGAAAGGGTCGCTCTTCCCCCTTCCTCCTTCAGCTCTATGTACTTTTTCTAGGGAGAAGAGGGCAGCCGCTTTCACCACCTTATGACCAAGGGACCAGGGAGGCTCAGAGGTTTCATGGGCACCAGGGGGATTCCTCAAGGGTGTCACTGCGCCCGTGGGCATCATGTTGGTGGTCCTTGTGTTAGAAACTGTCAAGAAGGAGGCAGTTTTCACAGAAAAGCATGATTGGACAACTCCATATGATTGGAAAATGCAGTCATATACAATCGTAGCTTGGTTTTCGAACGGCTTAGTTCCCAAACATTTTGGCTCCTGAATGTTGCAAACCCGGAAGGGACTGTTCCAGATTGCTGCATATTTTTGGAAGCTGAATGTCTGATGGGGCTTCCACGGCTTCCAAAGCTCCTGCAGCCAATCAGAAGCCGTGCTTTGGTTTCCAAACATTTTGGAAGTCGAACAGATTTCCAGAACGGATTCCGTTCGACTTCCAAGGTATAACTATACATCACTGAGTTTAGTCAGGAGCTAACCATTGAGGCTTTGCTTTGCTGTAGTGGCGGCCCAACCATCTTGATGCTATGAATTGTTATTTGTTCTTCACAAGTCACAGGAAAGCCCACATGTACTTCAATACACTCCATCAAGTAAATTCTTGCATAGTTACAGGCTGTAAACAGCTGCTGTAAGTCCTAGAAAGATGAGAGATAGTGTGTCATAGTGGTTAGAGTGCTGGACTAGGACCTGGGAGACCATGGTTCAAATCCCTACTCAGCCACAAAGCTTACTGGGTGACCTTGAGCCAGTCGTTGTATTTTTGTCTAACCTACCTCACAGAGGAGGACTGTGGGACTGTGGGAGGACAGAATGGGCGGATGGAGGCAGGGCACCTATTTTACCTTCTTTGGCGGAAAGGTTGTATATAAAATGTATATAACATGTATATAAAATGTCATGATAAATGAATTCAGGAAGTTCCGTGATTCCCCCATGGCTGTTATGCACCATGGCACTTATGCACCCAGACATGGTGGAACATGAGCCTTGCAAAATTCCATATCATTCCGACCTCAGGTAACTGGAAATTTCCATGGTACTGAATAAAAAATGGAAAGTACTAGATGAATTAGGGACGCGGGTGGCACTGTGGGTTAAACCACAGAGCCTAGGACTTGCTGATCAGAAGGTCGGCAGTTCGAATCCCCGCAACGGGGTGAGCTCCTGTTGCTCAGTCCCTGCTTCTGCCAACCTAGCAGTTCGAAAGCACGTCAAAGTGCAAGTAGATAAATAGGTATCGCTCCGGCGGGAAGGTAAATGGCGTTTCCGTGTGCTGCTCTGGTTCACCAGAAGCGGCTTAGTTATGCTGGCCACATGACCCGGAAGCTGTCTGCAGACAAACGCCGGCTCCCTCGGCCCATAGAGCGAGATGAGTGCCGCAACCCCAGAGTTGGTCACGACTGGACCTAATGGTCAGGGGTCCCTTTACCTTTACTTTACCTTACTAGATGAATTCTGAATACAGTGGTACCTTGGGTTAAGAACTTAATTCGTTCTGGAGATCCGTTCTTAACCTGAAACTGTTCTTAACCTGAGGTAGCACTTTAGCTAATGGGGCCTCCTGCTGCTGCCGCGCCGCCAGAGCACGATTTCTGTTCTCATCCTGAAGCAAAGTTCTTAACCCGAGGTACTATTTCTGGGTTAGTGGAGTCTGTAACCTGAAGCTTCTGTAACCCGAGGTACCACTGTAGCTCCCCCTGCCTCCACAAAACAATGCACTTTTCTCATTCCCTATGAACTCCATATTTTCCTTATGAGAGCTGTGTTTTCTCTGAATTTCAAACTGGCATTATTTTAGCACAGTTCATTCAGCTTCAGAGGCAGAAGAGGCCATTTTGGACTTTGCAGGCTGATCTTTGCTGTAGAACTTTTGAGTTATTCTGGTCTTTGAATTTGGGGAGCAGGAGGTATTGGACACAGATTTAGGTCCCCCATTACCACACACATAAGGTGGGGAATTCAATTCAATGTGCATTTAAAGGTGGGTCTACCTAATTTGCATTTCCCATATACAAACTGAAACACATTTATCTTTTGAAATTTACAGCATTTTTTCCTGAATTTTGCAATGCTGTACTCCAGTCAAATAGGGTGTACAAAAATGCCTCTGCTGGGGTAAGGGGTGCATAAAAATGTATATATTGGTGCAAATAACATACAAGAATACAATACTGATGGGGAAATTGCTTTGTAAAGAAATGTGTATATTAGTCTAAACTGCAAAAAAGTATATATTTGGAGAAATTCATACTAAAATGCTGATGAATTTTAATGAGGAATTTATATAAATATATACTGCAAACCGATCTAGAAGAACGTGGAAAACTGAATTTAAGATTGGAAAAACGAGAAATTGACAGGAACTGAAATTGACATGTTCACACATCCCTACTTAAGCAGGAGTATTTTCGGGGACTCTCCTTTGTGTGCAGGCAATTTGGAAGGCAAAAGAACGTAAGGAAGTTGCCAGGTACTCACAAAGGTCAAACCTCCAATTACTGGCGCCGTGGAACAGAAATGGCACACAAAGGTCAAACTCGTATTTCTCTCTCCTCCCCTCTCCCTTCGTTAATTATTCCAGCCATATATGCCCCTTCTCCCCAGATCGGAAAATGTATGGTAAGGATCCTCTCCATATGTAGAAATGTTTGCAATCTTTGTGTTCAGCCTGGGAGCTACACTACTTTTTAGTGGAGTTTTGCAAACTTCCACTCTGCGTTTTCTCGCTAATTCATTTCAAGCACACTGCATTTTATTGGCTTATCTCCTAATTCTTTTGATTAAAACACAAGCAAAAACCAACCAACTTGAACAGGTTGAATGCCACATCTGTGCCGAAGATAGTGGCGCACTTATTTATGGCTCAAAGAAATGGAGCCCAAATTAAGCTAGCGATTGCCGTAGAGTGGATAAGCGCCCATTATGAATTATCCTTAATTATAGCGATTTCCTAAACTAATAAACCTGCTAAATCTTTATTGCAAAGGTTAGTTTACGCAGCGCATATAAAATCCGCATGTGCTACGCATCAGCCACCAGCTGTCTGACGGTGTGTTGCTATTGCTCTGAGTGTTCCCATAAATTTTATGTTGGTTATATTAAGACTCAGTCCATATCACTACCCACAGATGCCACTAGACATAAAAATTGCTCTCCAGCGAGCCTGAATATCCCTGGAAGCTACTTGTGGCTAATGTTCCATGTAGTATTTGTACGTGAAAGCAGCAGATTGAGGAGTTATTTACAGATGAATATTTCAATCCAAGTTAGCGCATAGTGGCCTACTTAGCCTGATTTTTTTCCCTGGTTTATTTGTATGCTAAATAATTCACCAAAGCTCCTTGTTTACTTTCAATAGTACTTTCGGCGAAATGCAAACAAGGCAGCCAACTTCAGGTGTTCAAAAGGCTAAGCTGCTCCTTCTCCTACTCGCACCCCCCTTTTAAATGCAGGTCGGAGCCGCCAACATCGATGGAGCGTCCCTTGCATTTTGATGATTATTTGTTCACGTTCAACAGCCCTTTTTAGCACGCCAGGTACATGTTACGATGCTTAGCCCATTTATCCTCACAATAACCCTCTCAGTTAAGTGAGGGGAGTAAATTCACAAACCCTTAGCTGGAGCACGTTAATTCATTTATCATGTGGGGAACCAGTGCCCCCCCCCCCAGATGTTGCTGAACAGCAATTCTTGGGCCATTGGCCATGCTTGCCAACCTCTGTGGGGCCAAAGGTTACCCACCCCTGATGTATACCAATAAGATCCTTATGTAGACAAGGCAGCCCACACCCACACACAACAGGGGCAGATCAACCCAAGGAGTGGGTGACTCCAAAGCAGATTGGTGAATGCTGAGCATGCTCAGTGGACACAGAATGCTGTTGGGAAGGATGACAGAAAATGAGGAGGGAGGGTGGAATGCCATATTCTGGTAATGAACATGGCTGACTGGAATCCTGAACAAGATCACTGCAGTGTCGGTCCCATTTCTTTTGTTTTGCTGCAGGCCCGGTTTCGTTCTTAGAAATACATATATCCCCTTTCATATATTATTACAGTGGTACCTCGGGTTAAGTACTTAATTCGTTCCGGAGGTCCGTTCTTAACCTGAAACTGTTCTTAACGTGAAGCACCACTTTAGCTAATGGGGCCTCCCGCTGCCGCCGCATCGCTGGAGCACGATTTCTGTTCTCATCCTGAAGCAAAGTTCTTAACCCAAGGTACTATTTCTGGGTTAGCGGAGTCTGTAACCTGAAGCGTATGTAACCTGAAGTGTATGTAACCCAAGGTACCACTATACTGGGTTGTATCAAAGTAAGGGCTACTCAAAGCAGACCCACTGCAACTAATGAACCAAAGTTAGCCATGTCCATTAACTTCAGCGGGTCTACTCTGAGTAGGACCGGCACTGGATACAATCCATTGTGCTGTTCCAGTCAGATTCTGCTTATTGGCTTTCATCTAGTTGGCTCCTATGAGAACAGGATACCAGACTAGATGAGCCACTGGCTTGATATAGCAGGCTTTTCTTACATTAACATCTTGGAAGAGACATTCTGCCTCTGTGTGAGAGAAGGAGTGGATCTCTTTTCAGAGATGCCCCTTACTGCTCATGGGGTTTTGTTGGAAGTACTTTTATAAAAATTTGCTTTCCCATTAATCTGGGGTGGGGGAATGAATCAATCTAGCCAATTTACATCACCATCTTATGCATAATTGCTCAGAGTTTATTCCCACAGTTTTCAGTGGAACTAACTCCCAGTTAAATGGATGGATGTGGGATTGCAAATAGATACAGGATAAGCTAAAATCCTATGCACATTTCCCCAAGAGTAAACCCTAACGAACGCTTCCTTCAGAATAAGCATGCATTGGGTCACAGTTGTTCACCTAGTAAACAACAATTCAATTAAAAGTGCAAATAAAAGAGTGCCATTTCCACCAGCTTTTGGTATCTTCCTGCTTTTATACATATTTGTGTATTGCAGCATTTGGAACACATTTTATTCCCCTAGCTCAGGGCTGGGGAGCTTGCGACTTTCCAGGTATTGTTGGACTCTAACTCCAATTAGCTCTGGACAACTGTCAGGGTAATAGGACTTGTAGTCCAACCCCATCTGCAGGTTCATGGGTTCCCTATCATTCCTTTCTATTCCTTTAATGAAAGATCATCTAACCCCTTTTATATCCAATTCACCAGCAGAGCTTGCATCCTTCAGGTGAGGGCCTTCTGCAGATACCACCTTATCAGGAGGTTCGTTCCACACAGTGTAGGAATTGGGTCTTTAGTGTTGCGGCACCTTTGGAATTCGCTCTTCTTGAATCTTAGACAGGCATCATCTCTGTTGTCTTTTAGGCCTCACCTGTAGACCTTCCTCTGTCAGCAAACCTTTTCACTTGAGATCTTTCCCAGTCTGCATCTTAATTAACTGGAATTTTTAAAATATGTTTTTATTGTTTTATCACGTGTTGTTTGCCTTCTTGGGAAGAAGGTATAACAACAACAACAACAACAACAACAACAACAACAACAACAACAACAACGGGTGGGTGGGTGTTAGATTTAAAAGACTGGAGAGAACTGCTTCCAGTTCAAAGCCCAGGCCTGCCTAGCTTGTAGAGAGTTTGTCTGCTGAGCTAACTTTTTGTTTTACGACATTGATTTTCATCATTATTATTGCTCACCCTAAGAATTGCTCTATTGATATGTACTCAAATTCTTATTGTACAAAAATTGTAGACAACTCAGTTACAGCTATCGATGTATGTCTCTGGCTTGCTCTCTCCGCCGTCAGCCTATTTCAACCAAATATTATTCAGATGCTGCTCATGTTTCTTGCTATTGATTTTGGATTGTGTTCATTACATACTTCCTCGGCTCATGTACTGAATCCGCCCAGAGCACTGGTTTTCAGCTGGCGGGTCAGGACCTACTAGGGTGCTGCATCCTAGTCTCAGAGGCCAATTGTAGAAAGGGCACCAGTTCCTCGTGAGCATCTGGGTCAGAGGATACTGTCTCGGGGGGTCCCAGTTCAGTGGTATCTGACTCAGGTTCACTGGATGGACCTTGGTCTGCGTTTAGCACCTCCACAGCTTGCACAGTTCTCCCAATGCAGTTGGTTCACCTGTTTTTCGGGGGCCTAGATTCTTCTCATGGTCAGGTTCAGGATAGCAAGTCATTTTTTTTATGTGGTGAAGGGCTGTGGCTCAGTAGGAGAGCATCTGCTTTGCATGCAGAATGCTCCAGGTTTGATTCCCCAGTATTACCTGCTGGGAATGCCCCCCTATCCAAAGAGCTGCTGCCAGTCTGAGTAGACAACAGTGAACTCGATAGACCAGGGATCTGACTTGGTGTAAGGCAGCTTCCTGTGAACCCTTTCGCACTTTCAGTACCATGGTGAGAAATTTAGGAGTGCAGGGTCCCTTTACGATAGTCGCAGCTGCACCCTTTCTAAGATTATACAATAATCTTGTAATTCTGCAGTAATAATAATTAAGGATGCAGTGCAATGATCAGTACAGATCTCCAGGTGTTGCCTTTCAGCTGGATCTACTATTTTCTATATGGGCACGTATATGGGTAGATGATTTGGAGTGTTCCAATATCTTCTTTTGGACTGACTTCAGTTGTATTTTCCATGAAGTTCCATTGTACATGGCAGAACCATTGCCCACCATTCTCTTGACATTGAAGCACCTTGTGTTTTCGGTGTTCCCAAATACTTAGCTTTGGAGCAGACAGTGGCTGAAAAGTCCCCCTTTTAATGCTGATTGGACAGCTCCAGGACGTTGCAGAAATAGTGACGAGTTTTCAGTCCCCTGCAACCCCAGACTGCTAACACCAGCACCCTTTAAATGTAAGCTTTTTTGAACTGAAGGATGAAGCATGGCTCTGATTTATAATTTAAAGGGAGGGGGGTCTTCAGATATCAGAAGTTTGGGGAAGACTTATTTAATTGGACAGACATCTGGCAATTGGCTTGCTTGGAAGTAGCTTCTCCAATCAAGCCAGCGAGCATCCTACCCCAACTAATTCACCAGGCCGTCAGTGCTTTGAACTGTCTTAGGCATGCCTAACAGTTACATGCTAGCAACTAGAGTAAACACTCTGGACAGAAGAGAAGAGGGGAGCGAGCGGGAGAGTCACTGGGAATAAAGAGAGATTACAAGACAACCCATCTGCTAGAGCTTTGAATGGAATACCTGTCACCCCTTGTTATAAGGCAGAAGAACCCCAGCTTTATGACAATCATGTGGGCCGGCTTACAATAAAAGCAGAAGAGAAGCAAACTTAAACCTTTTCCTCCTGGCTGACATTGTGTCAAAAACATCATTTTTCAAGGAAACTCGCAGACAGAAGAGTGAGCATGAGCGGAGAGTAAATGCTAACAAGAAATAAAAAGGAGGAAGAGAGCTCGGAAGCATCCACAAGTTTGGGGGGAGCTAAGTGGACTTCCCTACTGAATAGCCAAGGGAAAAAGAGAGAATGCAACTGTCAGGTATATTTCCAAGGCAGTGTCAAGAAACCAAGTTGGTGTGTCTAGCAGGGGAGATGTGGAAAAGCATATAATAATTGGGATCATCTTGATTCCCTGCAGTTGTTAAATCTTCTGTGTACTACAGAGGTGGCCCAGTCTTTTGGGAAGGTCATGTGCAGTGAATTGTGTTGCAATTCTAAGTGTCCCTCCCTTCCAGGCTGTATTATTATTATTATTATTATTATTATTATTATTATTATTATTTCTATACCTCCCTATACCCGAAGGTCTCATATGCACCCCTCTGTACATCTCAGCTACGCTACTGAGCTGCAAAGTACAATAGCAAATAGTTGCACTAACTTCAGTAATTACAAACTTTTAATATTAGTCAGGGTAGACAAACTTTTTCCATTCATAATGCATCCTCATAATACTCATCTTCTGCATGTAATGCTCATAATTCTAGCCATTGTGACTCTTTTCCTTCTGGCTTAAACATGGCAACAATTCCAGACACCAGAGACCCTAGGAAATGTTATTTTCCCAGGGTCCCAGAGTCCTTGCTATGCCCTGGAAACTAAATGTCCCAGGGCTCCTTGATAAGTAGGACACCACAGGGAACATAACAGGGTGTGAATTTCAGAATTCCACCCCCCTCCCTGTGGCGTTCATACGGAGCCCCCGGTCGTCTCATGGACTATTGACCCGCACACCACTAATCCGCTGCCACCAACCAGGTCCTCCCTGGTAAAATCACTTCAGTCTCAGTCAGCTTTTCAATTAATAAAGAAGAGTGTGTTTTATTTCAGACACAAACAAAACTTTTACAGCGTTCCAAACGTTGTTGCTCTTTACTTTCTTAGTCTTATTTTCCTCTCTCTATCTCTTCTACCTCCCCACACTCAAGAACCCACTGCCCTAACTGTCTCTCTATTACCAACTGCCTTTCCCAACCAGCCAACCCACAAAATCCAACCAACTACCCACCCACAACTCCCAACGAACTCCTCCCAGAACTCCTCCCAGAACTAGTTTTATCGACCCACTGACTCCACCCCCCTGGGTCCTGTCTGTGCAACCTATTTAACTATTTCCCCTCTAGCACTCTTTCATATATGTTAACGTCACACTCCCCCTCCCTATTTTAGATGGGCAATAGTTTAATTTGCTGAGCCCAAATTGTAGCTGAGCTGGGGAGGGAGTTGGATTTCCCATAAACTTCTTAATTTTGTTTTTGTTTGTGTGTGTGTGCTGTTTGAGGGGATAAAATATTTATTTGGTGCTTTTAACAGTTCTTTAAGTCACTTGGAGATTTCCAGGTTACAAGTGACAACAAGTGACAAACAGATCGAATTAATAATAACAACATGATAATGGTGAAAACAACTTATAATAAATGATTAGACATAGACTGAGCACTATCACTCTTGACCAGGTATGCCTCAAACTCCTACTGGCATGGGTTGGATACCAGTGACCAAGGAGTGTACACCCAATGGGATTTTTTAAGCAGATCTCTGTATTACAAACTATTTTGGATTGAAGAAAGAAAGAAAGAAAGAAAGAAAGAAAGAAAGAAAGAAAGAAAGAAAGAAGCCTAAATCCTCCCAGGGCACCCTGAACATGTTGTTTGGTCCTTTTAAGACTGTCCAGCCCCTTGTTCTAATTATGAGGTTAACATCTAGCTTTTTCCAACCTCTTGTGGAAAATGTACAAATAGGGTGTATTCATGTAATGGACTGTTTTGGACATTGATTTTTGAAGGTTCGTTAGATAAATGCTGACATTACAGATTGATGTCTCTTTAAAACAGTGTCTGGCACACAACCATGGAAGAATCAAAACTATTGACAACATTTGCTTGGAGGGCCCGCTGGAGGCTTCCTTTGCATTAATAGGATCCATCAATTTAGGTGTTCCTTAATTATTCTAAATCTGCGTCTCAGAGCCGAAAAGGGTCTGTTCAGCCAATTTGGTCCTGTACCCAGGTAATTGAGCAGTCTGTCCAAGAAAACAAATAACACAAGATGTGGGTTCACCACCATACCACAATGTCTTCTTTTAAAGGCAACACATTTTGGAATATCTTTGTAGAGCCATTTACCCAACCGGAGCAGAGAAGACATTGATTAGTTGGGTAGCTCAGGCCACCCCCAAAGTAATTGCATGGTTCAGCAAAATGCATGCATGCAAAATAAAGTTGAGTGTGTGTGTGCGTGTGCGTTTATCCCCTCACCCTGGTACCATCAATAGATTGAAGACGTCGTTTGTATCTGCAAGTGTTTCTTTAATTAAGACCTTTTAAAAATCTTTGCTATTGATTCATTCCATTATCTTATTGATTAACTGCACTGGATTGTGTACTTGGTCTTTAGTGGGAAGAAACAGACTCAGCCTCCTGTCATTACCAACAGATGTGAACTGTAAGCCGTGTTCAGTGTCTGTGCTTGCCAAACAGTCTTGAGTTTTAATGAAGTACTACATTACAGGAGAGGAGCCAGTTGTCTGCTGCTTATGGGGTGACCAAGCATAAAGGTTCCCTTCCAGATACTCATAAACCAGCTGCATACCAGGGCACGGCAAGATATTCTGCTTTGCATCTGTATGTTAAAATGAAGCCCTTCTTTCTCTCTCAAGTGGCGTATTATCATAGGTGACCACAGATGTCGTTTCTTTGCTGTCGTTCAAATTTCCATGTTGAAGAGTTGGTTGACATTAATAAGAATTTGAGGGGCAGTATTAAACTGCTGTGACTCAGCAGTGCAATGATTTCTGCTTGCGCAATGGGAATCCTCCCCTCTTCTCCCACCCCCACTTCCAAAACTGCTCCAGAGGAGTTTCTTAACCTAGAACACATTTAGGGGGCATATGGGGGTGGGGCGGAGAGGGGGAGAACATTCCACATCACAAGGAGAAATCAGTTTGGTTGCCCTTTTCTGAACCTTTTGCAGCTCTACAATTTTATTTTTATTTTTGAGGGGAAGCTATCAGAACTGTACACAGTGTTCCAAGTGCAGCCGCACCACAGACTTGTATAATGGTTGTATAATAGTGGTCATTTTATTTTCAATCCCTTTCCTAATGATCCCTAGTATAGAATTTGACTTTTGAACAGCTGCTGCATGCTGGGTTGACATATTCACTTGTGTGCTTGTGATAATTACATATATTCTTACGTATTTATCTATTGTAAACCATATTGAGATTTTTCAGATAGTAAATAGTCTATACATAGAAGTAATTAATGAATAATAAATAATTAACAAAAGCTGTGGGACGTGGACTCTGACCACTCAGTCCTCTGCATGGTTACTTAGAAGGTGAGCCCCATTGGTTGTATCCCCCCCGGAAAATGCAATTAGGATTGCATCCCTTGCTGTTTGGGAATTTTTGGATCTTTGTATATAGCTTTGTTTTTAACTTGTTTCTCTTTCCCCTCCCCCCATTTATCTGAATGTTGAACTCTTGGTTTTAATTTTCTGCTCACCAGATGGGATTCATGATTGTTTGTAATTGTTGAGGAGATTTGTATATGTTAAGGGGAATGCAAGTTGAGCAGTTAATGTGCATAACAACCAGACATTGTGCACCAGGCCTTATGGAGAATGTGTACATAATAGTTCCATGCAGGAGGAATTGTGCACATTTCCCAGTCAATATACATAATATCCAACAGTCATATTGCATGGGGAAAGATAACCTTCAGCTGTTGCTTTTGAGTGCTTTTGAGCACACATTAAGAAGGGCTTTGATTGGCGGCTTGATATGTTACTCTGATAAGGCCTACG